TTTTTTGAAAAACAACCATTTGCGAGTTTCAATTTTTTGTAACATCACATCATAAACAATCTTCTGTTATAGCCCTAAGAGCTATAACGATTCATGTTGCATCCGCTTGACGACGGATGCTGATCGCGCGCGAAACAGATTCTGCGAGACACGCGCGAAACCGAAATTGCCTAAAATGCAAGCGAAGCAAAAGGACTTTGAATTTCCTTCGTTTGCACTCAGGTTTTTGACCAAAAGGACCTGTTGCTAGACATCTTTTCCAATCAAGAGACCTTTTGAAAAATGACGTTATAAAAAGCGAGCAAGAGATACGCTCGTAGCAATTGTAATCGAATCGCGTAGTCACTAATCAGAAGTAAGTGAAACGAATAACACCACGCGAGTGTCACATGTAATAACTTTGGAATTTGTAAAAAGAAAGTGTAATAAAAATAGACTATTCGAGATAAAAATAAAAGTATTATTTGAAAGAAATCACAATCTTCTTAAAAAGAACGGACATGACTCCTGACGTCCAGGATTCTAATTTTCAAATTTAGCGCAACCCCAATGCCGTTTCCCGTAGCATATGACATTTCCTTTTGAAACGACTAATAATAGCAGATTTAAATACAGAACAGGAACTGTTGATTGACCCTGTACTGTAATTGAATCAGCATCGTGCAGTTTTTGTCAGCCGTGAGAAGGTTGATGTCAGTGAAGTTGGCATATCATTTTCCAGCAGATCAAAAATAAAAGGGAGTTCTATTTGCATGCAGTCAAGTTCTATAGTTTCTGATAGGTTTTAGTAATAGTTCTATTGATTTTATCCAAGAAACATCAATTGAAAAAATGATCTTCTAACTTTCTGTAGCATATCATTTTCCAGTAGATCAAAAATAAAAGGGAGTTCTATTCGCATGCAGTCGAGTTCTAATGTTTATAATAGTCTTTAGTAATAGTTCTATTGATTTTATCCAAAAAATATCAATCGAATAAATAATGATCTGCTAACTCCTCATAGCATCTCATTTTCCAGCAAATCAAAATAAAAGGGAGTTCTTTTTGCATACAGTCGAGGTAAAACATTTGTTGTGCCTCGGGTGAGACACAGAAGGGATGTCGCCGGATTGGGAAGTGGACTTCCGAATCGTCGGGGTTTCTTCGTAGATTATAGTCTTGTTAGATCTAGAATTCCTTTTTTTATTCAATATATATATTGGTATACAAACTTAATAAGACTCGGCGTATAGTTATTTATAAACCTCTGGTAACTTTGTTTCTCTTTTCTGCTCGTTTGACGCGACTCTAGATTTATTCGAACGTTAGTTAACGGCTCGTCTGATTGAGAGTCGGGAGTTATCCTTGATGTGACTCGGTTGGTTGATCTAATATAACTCGCTCTCTGTTCACTCCCGAGTTATTACGGTGTCTTGAACTCGGTTTTTCGTTATTTTGTCTGGCGACAGGCACCCGATTGGTGCATAATTTTTTCTTACGCGGCTTGATTTTGAGCTAAGAGCTGTTCGAAAGATGAAGCTCTTAGCTTGCGTCTTTGCGGTTTCCGGCCCGCTGCTGTATCAGCGGTCTCTACGCGGATTTTATATCCGTTAAACTTATAATTATAGCCTTTCGGGCTATAACACATTCATCAATTTTTGATAGTTTTGTTTCTTATAAAACAGTTCTCGTATAGTTCGATTCATGTACAATGCATTTCCAAAGAGTTCTGACGATGAAAATAATTAGAAAATTTAGACGTGGACGTGTTGAGAACTGGCTTTTTAAAAATTTTTTTGTTTTTTGTTTTTTATTGTTTATTTTTTTTATTTTTTATATATTTTTTATTTTTACCAAAAATGAAAGTATGTAATATTAAAGAAACGACCAATACTGGACTACAAAGGCTTTATTTCAATTAAAATGTCATGACGTTTCGACCTATGATTTAGGTCCTTTTTAAATGAGCTGAAAAATTATATATAGTTATGTATTATTACAATAAATTAAGATAAAAAGCAGCAACAAAAAATTACACAAAATTCTTACATAATATTGGAGATGACCACATTAAGTGTATTTTGTCTAAGATCTATGATTTAGTGAGTGCATGGCGAGACAATGGATTAATAGATGACGGTACATATACCAGGTATATGCATAAGTTTTTTTCGGTTTTTTGGTAAAAAAAAACACGTAATTTTCAAGGGAAATTAATTTTTTTTTATTCAAAATATTGGCCATCGGCTTCTACACATTTCCCATCTTTCAGGTAATTTATGAATACCATGCCAGAAAAACTGCTTGTCTTTTGCGGCAAACCATTCATCGAGCCATTTTCCAACTTCCTCGAAATTGCTGAAGTGCTCCTCTGCGAGCGCGTGCCCCATTGATGCGAAGAGGTGATAGTCAGATGGCGCTAGGTCTGGAGAGTACGGCGGGTGCGGAAGGTTGTCCCATCCAAGCGATTTCAAGGTGTTTTTTACTGGTTTTGCTGTGTGAGACGGCGCATTGTCGTGTAACAAAATCACTTTGCCATGTCTTCTGGCCCATTCCGGTCGTCTTTCGATTAATGCGTGGTTTAAATTAATCATTTGTTGGCGATAGCGTTGTGTATTAACGGTTTCGCCGGGCTTCAAGAGTTTATAATACACAATACCGCTCTGGTCCCACCAGATACAGAGCATGGTCTTCTTGCCGAAGCAATTTGGCCTTGGTGTTGATGGACCGGCTTCGTCAGGTGAAAGCCACGATTTTTTTTGCTTCGGGTTTTCAAAATAAATCCATTTTTCGTCACCCGTCACAATTCGATACAAAAATGATTTCCTTTCGTGGCGTTGAAGCAGCATTTCACAAGTGACTTTGCGATTTTCCATTTGACGTTCATTCAAATTGTGTGGGACCCATTTACCGAGTTTATTGATCTTTCCCATTGCTCGTAAACGTCTGCTGATTGTTTCTTGTGATACATGTAATGCTTCTGCTAATTGCCGTTGAGTTTGAGTTGAGTCATCATCCAATAACTCCTGCAATTGCTCGTTTTCGCATTTTTGTGGTCTACCAGAGCGCTCACTGTCTTTCACATTGAAATCACCACTTTTAAATTGTCGAAACCATGTCTCACATGTTCTAATCGATGGAGCGTGTTCACCATATGTTTCTACCAGCAAACGATGACTTTCAACAGCCTTTTTCTTTTGATTAAATAAGAAAAGCAAACATCTTAATTGGTAAACATCTTAATTGTACAAACAGGAATCTCCTGCGGTGTTATGGATTACCAAAGATACACAAGACTAATGCTTCACTTAGAATCATCGTATCCTCACTTGGAAGTCCGGCATACAATGTAGCACATTTCATTCACAAAATTTTGTCTGATTCAATCAATAAACCTAAATCACATATAAAAGATGGATGGACATTTGCGAACAATATTAATAATACTAGAATTGAGGATGGGGAATGTTGAGAGATACCTATTTTCATCGATAAGAGAAAAGAAATATCGATTCGGATTACGCGCGACCAATAGCGGATCCTGACTTCGGTCATGGGGGGGAGGGGGGTTTCGGCAAAATTACTTGACATTTTTCTAGGTTTCACGCTTAGCTTTTACTCCAGGATCAACGACGAGGACGTGGTGAAACTTCTGATTCTATTTTTACTTTTCTTTTAAATTAAAAAAATTTTTTTTTTATTTTTAATTTTTTTTTAATTTTTTATGTTTTTAAATTTTTTAAATTTTTAATTTTAAAATTTTTAATTATATGTTTAATTATATGTTATTATTTTTTATTGTTGTATTTTTTATTTTATGTTTTTATTTATTTTTTTCTTTATTATTTTTTTCTGTATTATTTAAATGAGTACTTTTAAGTTCGTATTAGCTATTTCATCTAAAACATCTTTAACAGACGGCATTAAATCTGTATAAAGATTCATGAGCGCCAATCCATTTAAACGATTCTCTGAAGTTGTGCTTCGCAAATAAGTTTTCAGACGTCGTAACATCGAAAATGATCTCTCGTTTTTGCAAGTCGACACGGGTAAAGTAGCAAAAATACGTAAAATAATAAAAATATTTTCGCAAATAATTGGATTGCAATTATTTAACGTATCTTCTACATTTTTTAACGGGCGTTTTAACATTTCCACTCTTTTATGCCAAATTTCATACTCATTCATCAATCCTTCTATGTTGCATTGCAAATCAGCTTCATACGTTTGAAGAATATTTTTTAAAAGATACAAATTATGCTGGTCTAAAGGCGAAGGTGCTAATAGAAATTGAAAACTGGATAAAAGTTGTTCATGAATGAGAAATCTTTCATTTATTTGCATGATGAAATGGTCGAGAAAATTTATAAATATATTGGATTTGTAATAGGTTATTGGACTAATTGATCTTTGGATAGCAAGCCTTGGAACTTTTATTTCAATTTCATATTTCTCTGCATATGCACTAGCTTTTGCATACAAAGTTTCAAATTCAACGTCGACATTTTCTCTAATTTCGTTAACTCTTTGAGTTACAATTGCATATGAAATTGCCTCGCATAAATCGATCTTAGGACTTTGTAAATATTTACAAAGATTACTGGAAAAATCGAAAACTCGATTAATTGTTAGGAGAGCTATTATAAATTCCATGCTTTTCATAGATGTCAACAAGCAAAATGCGGTAGAAGATGTCTCAGAAGAGTCCCAAATAGAACTTAATTTGTGCAACGCGCTCAATATGTAATCAAAAAGTTCCAAAAAATAGAGACCGAATCATGCCTTTCTGACCATCTTGTCGCGCAAAGTTGTTTTAATTTAAAATGTGTAGATTCTCGACTTAAATCAGCTTTGATTTCCTCTTGTAATAGGAAGTTTCGTTTTGCAGTATTAAAAAGGAGCATATTTTGCTAATAATTCCCATGCAATGTTTTATTTCTTTCATTTTACAAGAGTCAGAAATTGCTAAATTTAAAACATGTGCTGTGCAGTGCACATACTTTGCTAAAGGATATTTTTTTTTAAATATGTGCTTTAACGCCATTAAAATTTCCACTCATAGAAGCAGCACCATCATATCCCTGTCCTCGAATTTTCATTGGATCAAGACCTAATTCCATCACGGCTTTCAAAATGCTATTGGCTAATCCTTCTCCCGTTAAGTCGTGAATAGTGTAGAATTGTAAGAAAAGTTCTTCAATATGCATTGTTTGGTTGTTAAATATTTGAATACATAAAGACATTTGTTTGTTCGAAGCTGTATTCGTAGTTTCATCCACTAAAATTGAAAAAAACCCGCTATCTTTTATTCGCGAAATCAATTTTTTCAAAATGAGTGAATTACAAACTTTAATTATTTTATTTTGTGTGGTTTTAGAAGTGTATAAAATAGTTTTGTTTTGAATCTGAAATAAGTAACATAATTCCTTATCATCTCTAATTTTAAATCTTAAGAGCGCTCTAAAATTTCCGTCATTCTGTTCCGGGTCTATCTGTGGATCAATTCTACCGTCATCTCGATGACCCCTTAAAGATAAACCTTGTCGTCCACATAATAGAATTGTTTCTATTATCGGTTTTAAATATTTTCGATTTCTTTCTGCTTCTCCTTTTCTTTGTTTATTAATTTGAACGGATATCATGTCTTGTTTCTTCGTAGTAATCAAAGAAGCAGATTCGTAATCAAGCAAGGATTTCTTATGGTATTCTAAATTTTCATGACTTTTAAAGGTCTCTAGGCTTTTTTTCCAATTGCAAAATGGCTATTTCACTAATTGCTTCAGCTCTTGGTTGCCTTTTCCAGCAAATTCAGGACCAAAAATAACACAATATTTGCAAAATGCTGCATCTTTTGCCTTAGAATAAGAAAGCCATTTAAATTTATGAAGCCATGAGTATTGAAAGAGTGACCTAAAAAATCGCCCCTTTTTGGTCCCTCGATTTTGGGATTGAACTGTGTGCCAAATGTTACCTTATAATGAGACATTAATCACAGATAAGTTTCAAGTTGAGGTGACAACTATTATCAGAGGTAGGGAGGGGGGTCAAAGTTCACTGACGTACTATCTTTTTTGCTTCGAAGCAATTCAACTCAAAAATTTCAAGCGAAGTGGATAACTGTAAAGAGCTTATCCCCACGTTTTTCAGATCTCTGAATACCAATCTGACATTAGATTTTAAAAATACAAAATGGCTGATTCAATATGGCGAACTCTACATACGAAATGTTTTATTTTATAATAAATTCAGTCAAATAACTTAAGGCTACATATCCTGGGTTTTAGATAGCTGTTAATCAATTTTAAATCAGATATCCGAAATTCAAAATGGCCAATTCAATGTGGCTGAATACCTGAAAAATATTGATTTTTCCAATGCAATTTATTTGAAGAAATCAACATTATTTATCTTGTTGATTGTGTAAATCTATTCCTAATGTAAAAACATATTGAGACTTATCTTTCTTAATTTCGTTTTTTTGGAATTGTTATGGATACATCGCATATATTAGGATTGGGTATGTGTACTCCATGATATTGAGCATATCCAAGGAACCATACGATGGTCATTACGTGGCTGCAACATCCGACAGTTCGTGCGCCACTTTCACATGTACAATAGTACTCTGTAATTGAATTTCGTCCTGTTTTAACTTTATCAATGAGTACAAAAATAAGTTGTGAGTGCTGTCAAATGGTCCAAGTACAAAAAGTATAAATACACTTGACAAATACACTTTCTCTGATTATTTCAAAATAGAGTAAAAAGTCTCAGACTCAAGTTAATCATTTCTTTAAAATCTAGTATTAAAGTAACAGTATTAAATTATCTTTCCAATTTTATATTTATTTTTATATGTACATGTATATTTTTAAAAATAAAATAAAATAAGAAAAATAAAATAAAATAAGAAACAAGTGTATAAGAAAAGAATAATTTCTTTAGAGTAACCCTCATAAATTAAAAGATATTTAATAACATGTGCATTAAAAAATTCATTTTTTCGTGCACAGCTCTCCATATTAAATTGAATTTTAAATATTTGATTTAAAATTCATTAATAGCAATCCAAATAATTCCAGGATATGTAGCCTTAAGTTATTTGACTGAATTTATTATAAAATAAAACATTTCGTATGTAGAGTTCGCCATATTGAATCAGCCATTTTGTATTTTTAAAATCTAATTTCAGATTGGTATTCAGAGATCTAAAAACCGTGGGGATAAGCTCTTTACACTTATCCACTTCGCTTGAAATTCTTGAGTTGAATTGCTTCGAAGCAAAAAGATAATACGTCAGTGAACTTTGACCCCCCCTCTACCTCTGATAATAGTTGTCACCTCAACTTGAAACTTCTCTGTGATTAATGTCTCATTATAAGGTAACATTTGGCACACAGTTCAATCCCAAAATCGAGGGACCAAAAAGGGGCGAAAAAACCACCTTTTTTTGGGTCACTCTTTAAATTACGCAACTGTGGATTTTTTGGGAAAACAAAATTTGGATTAAGTACATAAAGATTGTTCAATGCGTCTACCTTTTGAAATATATTCATTTTTTGTCGAGAAACATAACTATATCGTTCTCTTCAAAAAATTCCGGAACAGGAACAGAGATTGAAGTTGACGGAGAGGAAGGAGGCAAACAGGAAGCTGAAGTTGACGGAGAAGGGGTAGAAAAATTAGAAGTGAAAGAGGAAGAGGGTAAAGATGGAGGGGATTCCGAAACTGAACTTTCGTTTGGCTTTGATTTTTTTTTAAAGAAATCGACTATTGTCGTATTTCGTTTCATTTTTCTTACACAACTTAGCCAGTCGGCTACTTAGAATACGAATGAAAATGAGCGAATATACTTCTCAAAAGACTAATGCCAAAAAAAATAGATGCCGAAAAATAAATTTCGTAACACAAAGAATTTATTTTCTGTTTAACTGAATGCGATTTTTCTTATTTTCTATAAAGCGTTTAACGCAGGCTGCCAAACGGCCCAAACGTATCGTATTACAACTTGTGTCTCTTTGCTTCCCTTTCCGCGATCTCTTTTCGCTAACACGCATATACGCGCACGCGGCGCACGTATAAACTATATGGGGACCGTGGGACGTATACAGATACAGAGACGGAGGAGGCGAGCGCGCAGAGTGGGAGAACAGGCCCTTGAGCCGAGAGCTTGAGATTCACGACTTTCACGAGCGCCTCCGCGCAATTCGAAACTCTGCTCCCACCACGCATACAAGGAAAGAAAAGAGTGGCGCGGCGGCGGCGCCTGCGTCGAGCGCACCGTACGAGTGTGTGCGTGGTGATAGAATTTGGAAACTGGCATGACCGCCTCTGCTTTCCGCGTCGATATTCAGTTTTAATGTTGTGTTGAAATCATTTTTTTTATTTAGATATATTATTTTTTAGATTTTTTAAATGAATCTAAAAAAATCGATTTTTTAACATTTAGATTTAATTTCCAAGGGGGGGTTTTAACCCCAAAACCCCTCCTAGAATCCGCCATTGCGCGCGACGATCGACGGACATGCGCGCGCTGGGGAACGCGCACGCGGCGACTAGCGTTGGCGCGCGTCGAAAAGCGCGGCTCTCTCTTCCGTGAACCATGACACGATACTCATCGGCTCCGACAATTGTTACGTCCAAGAATAGTATTTCAAATATATTTAGTTTATAGTGAATACAGTGCATTATTAATATTGAATAATCCAGCCGCATTATCCCATACACAACAAATTCTGGCGATGAGGATCGGATTAGCTGGACGTGCACATTACTGACGGAGTATTCCTTGATCTTGCTCCAAGTCTCGCTTGCCCGTGCTGTGCGGATAGGGTGAGAACCTTCTAGAAGCTATACACGTGTGCGGTTAATCGGATTCGAAAATGGCACAACTACCGGCTGGTGAGGAGAGGCCGGCGATCCCCGGCTTTTTCACAATCGAAGCTTTCGATCCAGCAACCACTACATGGAAACGCTGGGTACAACGCTTGCAGGGCGCCTTCCTGATTTTCGGCATAAAAGAAAATGCTAGAGTGCCCTATCTTTTACACTATGTGGGAGCCTCGGCGTTTGATGTCCTGTGCGACAGGCTTGATCCAGCTGACCCCTTCATTCAACCTTACGATACGCTGGTACTGAAACTTGAAGAATTCTATGCGCCAACTCCGCTAGAAATAGCGGAACACTTGATTTTACCAACGGAAACAATGCGAGGGAGAGTCAGTTCAACAATTTGTGCTTCATAAATTGAGCATTCACTGTAAATTCGGAGAATACCTAAAGACAGCTCTTTGCAACCAATTCGTCTTCGGATTACTGAACAAAAAAGCGCAAGCTCGTTTATTGAAGTGGAAGGACTTAGACTTCGACGATGCAGTAAAAATTGCCATCACAATAGAGCTATCGGAGAAGAGTTTGATGCAGATGATAAAATGCAGGACCGTCTTCGTCAAATCTGGACTTATTGAAGGCGGGAAAAAAACCTAAGAAAAATTCTTCAGACAAGCGTTATAAGGGTGATAAGTATTATAAGAACAAATACGCTATTCAACATACTAACCAAAATTCTAAAATTCATTCGAAAAATATTAGTAATATAAGGTGTTATCGTTGCGGTAAAGCACATTTAGCTAATAAGTGTTCCTTGAGCAGTGTTCACGAACGCGCTGCGTGAGAGAGGAGATCGCGCGACACAAAGGATAAGTCACTTTTTGTATTAAAGACTTTAATTTTGAAACACACACTTAATGACAATATACACCTTAACAAAACTTATTACAAACGTTAATTATTTTACAGAAAAATCGAAATCAAAGTACGGAATAAGTTGTCAACGAGATTTTGCGGTTTAACTAGTATGCGGTTTTGCGTTATGCGGTTCACGGCGGAAAGCGATAAGGCTGACAAGCCGGGTGTGAGCTCCTCTTTTATAATTTTCAGGACGGAGCTCACCTTCACGCCAATAATTTCGAGTATTTCGAATATTGCGCGAGGTGACCTGAGCGCATTACTCGTAATTGGCCGCTGTTAGAATTGACGAAACGAAGTCTGGAAGAAAGCATGCGCAAGCGGGCAATCGCGATAATTATTGGTGAATTGAGGCGCCCGTGAGAAGCCGTGCATGCTCGTTGTAATATAATTATTCGGCGGAACGGTTGCGATACCGTTAATTGTTTATATTTTTGATAGATTTTTTGATGACAGAATGATTTATGTCGCAGTGCTCTTTTTTTTGAAAAACATATAAAAACGATATACCTATTTGTTGTGAATATCGGTCTAAAATATTCTAAAATATTCTATTCGAATATAATATTTTATTATGCGTATATTTTATTATGCGTATAATATTCTATTATGCGTTTTGAACAAGCAGGGACATACTTTGTCACAGCTGTGGGAAGCCGGGGCATCTAAGTACGGTGTGTTTTTCGAAGGGCTCTGCAAATCAACTACAAGAAATCCTGTCACGGTCATAAGTACACGCGATGTTAACAAAATCTTTCCAGGTGCGATCATACACAATACACAGTTACAATTAATTTCGTTTTGCGACCGTGTCTTGCGAAGTCAAGGTTTCATAACAGTTAACGTCAAATATAAAAATAAATCTAATCAGCTTAACTTGTATATAGTCGGTAGTTCTAGAAAGCCATTACTCGGTAGGGAATGGATTAGGCAGTTATCCGACGGATCTGAATTCCTAGCTTCAAGTGCGACAATAGATAACATTTCAATGCACGTTCCTAATAGCAAGCTACAAAATATTATTGAAAAATACAATAATACACGACCTTCAGAATATACAGCAATAAAAAGAGTACAAGCAAAAATTTCGCTAAAATAGGACGCAGTACCGGTGTTTGTTAGAGCGCGCCTCATTCCTTTCAAATTATTATCTCTCGTGGAACAGGAACTAGACAAGTTAGAAAACACGAGAATCATCAAGAAGGTCACGACATCTAAATATAGTTCCGATATTGAAAAAGAACGGTAAAATTCGAATATGCGGAGACTTCAAAATTACACTAAACTCTCAATTGTTAGTCGATGACCACCCGTTCCCTACAATAGACGAATTCGCGAAACTTGCTAATGGAAAAACATTTTCGAAATTAGACTTAGAAGAAGCATATCTACAATTAGAAATCGCGCCAGAAGACCGCGAATTGCTAACAATTAGTACATGTAAAGGATTGTATAAAGCAAATAGATTGATATACGGCATTGCGTTCGGACCGACTATATGGCAAAGAGAAATAGAAAATATATTACAAGGCATTCCGGGGGTAGCGATTTTCTTTGATGATATAGTGATTACGGGAGAAACTGATATGATACACTTAGCGAGATTAGAGGAAGTATTAGAAAGGTTAAATCGTTACAATGTACGTTTAAATGTCGATAAATCAACCTTCTTTTTGGATCAAGTTAACTATTGCGGATATGTTATTGATAAGAACGGTATTTATAAAGAAGAGCAGAAAATGGAAGCAATTCGACAAATGCCACGACCGACAAATATCTCGGAAGTTCAAGTTTTTACGGGCATGATAAATTACTACGGGCGTTTCATACAAAATTTAAGCGCGATTCTATTTCCACTTAATAAGCTATTACGAAAGGATACTTCATTTATCTGGTCAAAAGAATGTGAGGCAGCTTTTTGCAGAGCAAAAGAAATGTTTACGAGTAAACAGGTTTTAGTACATTTCGATTCCAGATTACCACTTGTGTTAGCAACGAACGCTAGTTCGTATGGGGTAGGCGCTGTCCTTTCCCATCATTATTCAAACGGAACAAAACGGGTTATCCAATTCGCGTCGCAAACATTTTCAGAAACACAGCGAAAGTACTCGCAAATAGATAAGGAAGCATACGCAATTATTTTTGGAATAAAAAATTTGTTCAATACTTATAGGGAAAAAAATTTACCCTGATTACAGACCATCGTCCGCTAGTTCAAATATTTTCGCTCACTGCGAGCCTACCAATTTACACGGCAATGCGCATGCAACATTATGCAATATTTTTACAAGGATTTAATTATGAAATACAATACCGGAAATCGGAAAAGCATGCAAACGCGGACTGCCTATCCAGACTCCCCGTTCCATACGCTATTCAGCATACTAACCAAAATCGTCCGCTAGTTCAAATATTTTTGCCCACTGTGAGCTTACCAATTTACACGGCAATGCGCATGCAACATTATGCAATATTTTTACAAAAATTTAATTATGAAATACAATATCGGAAATTGGAAAAGCATGCAAACGCGGACTGCCTATCCAGACTCCCCGTTCCAATCCAAAAGCCACTGTCGACACAGTCGACATATTCCAAATGGAAACCATAAACACGTTTCCGATTACAGCGGCCCAAATTGCTAAAGAAACAATCAAAGATAGAGAATTAAAAGAATTATTACAGGCACTACAAACAGGAATTCAGATCAATAAGATAAAACGTTTCAATGTAGAACAACTAGAATTTAGCTTACAGAACGGCGTCATTATGCGGGAACATAAAGTCATTATTCCGAAAGCGTTGCGCACGTAAAATTCTATAGAGGAATTACACTAAGGCCATTTCGGAGTAGTGAAAATGAAAAGCCTAGCCCGTGATTACTGTTGGTGGCAAAAAATCGATAAAGATATCGAGACGCTAGCCAAAAACTGTGCAAATTGTAATACACACAAAAACAATCCGCCCAAAATAAAAGTACATCATTGGCAAGCAACTTCCGCTCCAATGCAAAGAATTCACATCGATTTTGCGGGACCTTTCTTA